AAAAAAAATTCAGGAAAATTCAGATTTTTTTGCCTCTAAAAATCCAATTCTCCCCCAAAAAATCCATTTCTACACCCCCAAAAAAATTTGGGAAAATTCAGATTTTTCTGCCCCAAAAAATCCATTTCTACACCCAAAAAAAAATTGGGGAAATTCCAATTTTTTGCCCCAAAAAAATCCTCTCCCAGCAAAAAAAACTCCCTAAAAATCCATTTCTCCACCCAAAAAAAATTCGGGAAAATTCAGATTTTTTTTCCCCAAAAAATCCTCTCTGAGCAAAAAAATCTCCCTAAAAATCCGTTTCTACACCCAAAAAATTGGGGAAAATTCAGATTTTTTGCCCCAAAAAATCCATTTCTCCACCCAAAAAAAATTTGGGAAAATTCAGATTTTTCTGCCTCAAAAAATCCGTTTCTCCACCCAAAAAAAATTTGGGAAAATTCAGACTTTTTTGCCCCAAAAAATCCTCTCCCAGCAAAAAAATCTCCCTAAAAATCTGATTCTCCACCCAAAAAAATTTGGGGAAATTCCAATTTTTTGCCCCAAAAAATCCTCTCTGAGTAAAAAAATATCCCTAAAAATCCATTTCTACACCCCAAAAAAAATTGGGAAAATTCAGATTTTTCTGCCCCAAAAAATCCATTTCTACACCCAAAAAAAATTCGGGAAAATTCAGATTTTTTTTCCCCAAAAAATCCTCTCTGAGCAAAAAAATCTCCCTAAAAATCCGTTTCTACACCCAAAAAATTGGGGAAAATTCAGATTTTCTGTCCCAAAAAATCCAATTCTCCACCCAAAAAAAAATTTGGGAAAATTCAGATTTTTTGCCTCTAAAAATCTATTTCTCCACCCAAAAATAATTTGGGAAAATTCAGATTTTTTTTCCCCAAAAAATCCTCTCCCAGCAAAAAAAATCTCCCAAAAAATCCGATTCTCCACCCCAAAAAATTAGGGGAAATTCAGATTTTTCTGCCCCAAAAAATCCATTTCTACACCCCAAAAAAATTCGGGAAAATTCAGATTTTTTGCCCCAAAAAATCCTCCCCCAAAATCTGATTTTTCAGGGAAAAAATTCCCAAAAAACCGTGATTTTTTTCCTTTAAAATTCACTTTTCCACCCAAAAAAAATTTGATTTCCCACCCAAAAAAACCTCCAGGAAATCTCCCCAAAATTTGCTTTTTTTTTTCCCCAAAAATTCTATTTTTCTTTTGAAAATAATTGGGAATAACTGGGAATAACTGGGAATAACTGGGAATAACTGGGAATAAATGGGAATAA